ACGTTTTGCACATCAAATATACATCCTATAATATAACTTAATAAAATACCAAATTTGATACTAATTCTTTCACGATTTCGTCGAATAATGAATATACAATAGTATTCTTTCGAAACATATTTTAATATGAAGTTCTGCCAACACCTGAAGGTTTTTCCCCTGCTTTGCTCATTGCAAATTACAAAAATATAAAATGTTCAGTTACACCCGAACATAGCCCTTCCTTACTTGTTTAATATTTCTTCCTGAACAGTTTTATAGTACTATTTTAATTTAATACTTTAATGTTCCATTGCTTTACCAATTGATTCCGTTTTTTGTTCGTATTAAAATTAAAAAAAACTAAATATGGTGCTTGCCTTGCTCACGTTTTGCACATCAAATATACATCCTATAATATAACTTAATAAAATACCAAATTTGATACTAATTCTTTCACGATTTCGTCGAATAATGAATATACAATAGTATTCTTTCGAAACATATTTTAATATGAAGTTCTGCCAACACCTGAAGGTTTTTCCCCTGCTTTGCTCATTGCAAATTACAAAAATATAAAATGTTCAGTTACACCCGAACATAGCCCTTCCTTACTTGTTTAATATTTCTTCCTGAACAGTTTTATAGTACTATTTTAATTTAATACTTTAATGTTCCATTGCTTTACCAATTGATTCCGTTTTTTGTTCGTATTAAAATTAAAAAAAACTAAATATGGTGCTTGCCTTGAAAAACTTATTCCATAATTTTCTAAGAAGTAATCTAAGTAAATTGTTACAATAAGCATTTTATTTATAAGTAGTTTTTAAGTAATTATTTATATATATTATTTACTAATTGAATTTTAACTTCTAACACTTTAAAATTAAATATATTTAAATGAAATTTGTCTAAAGTTCGTAAAATCAAATTCGTTTGTGCTAACTTATGCAATACTCTATTTTAATAAAATAAAACATAATCCACTAAAAGTTGAAATTTTATTACTGAAAAGTGAGTTGTTGAATGCTATATTTACTATAAGTATCCTGCCAATACCCGCTCCTTTTACTGGACTATTTGGAATTCATAGCTGCGCCTGCATTGTTTATATAGTCTAAAGTATCTATTAATTTTAATTAATTATAATTTTATTATTTCAATAAATGCTTACTTTTAAATAAATTTATATCAGTACCCTTTGTTAATAAGAATATTATTATCGATACATCTTTTTTATTGCACTTAGTGGCTACAGATTGATTGCACGTTTCCGGCCAAAGACAACGGAAAATATCACATTGTTCGTTTAAAGTCTACAACAAGTGCACCCTACCGCCTCTTTCTCTCAACGAACTAACTTAACTGTACATATTTGGGCTACAGTAAAAATGTTTGATGCCTCACCATCCTGAAGGATATGACCTTTGTTATTGCACTTGATTTTTTTTTTTTAATATTGCACAAGTTTTTTGCACAGTGTTTTAAAGTTGGTTTAAACTACATTTATCTAAAGCTAAACGAAACAGTGTAAGAACAAGAAAACTTGTAATTAGTCTTTTATCTGTTGGTCAGTTCTAGTCAATTCTAGTACATTGTGTTCGTTAAATTTTTCACATAAATTTCAGGACCCTGCTGCTTTGCAAATAATTTTAGGGGATGGAAAACTTTTTCATATTTCGATTGTTGAAATATTTAAAAATATCTTTATGAAAATTCTTTTTCGTAATTAAAATTATTTTCTAAAATTTTTACTTGGCATCCTGACTGGTTATAGCAAACGTTGACATTTTAAACGAGATTTTTTCGAAACTACTTTTTGATATGGTCGTCACGATATCACAAGTTCCAATCACCGATTTACTTGAGATTTGGCATTCATATTTTTAAAATATCTTTTTATTGTATTAACCACACACAATTATGAAAATATTTATCAAAATACGTTATGGTACGAGGAAACATAACTTTATGATTTTTTTAAAATTTATTTTCTGTACTTATGAAATATGAAAAAAGTGGATTTACCGTTAATTGCATTTTCTTATCAATTGCTCGAAATTTGGAAATCTAGATTAGAATACTCCCTTTAGCTTAACGTAACGTAAGAAGTGTTCAACTATTTCTAACATTTTTGTACAGTACAGAATGAGTTTCAATGCTTTCCGCACCCGATTCCCACATATCTTCCGCATTTGTCTCACCATCCGTCTCCGAGGAGCCATATGATGGACTTTTCCTGTCTCTCTGCTGCTCTTCTTCCTCAGATGAGTATACATTTAAAGCATTCATATGCGGGGTTTCTAAGTGAGCGACGCTCGAATGAGTCAGTGTCTTATCAGACTCAGCATCGCTTGAGTCTGCCTCCGGAGATTCTTGCGAGGGTGTGGCATTACATCCCATTGCTGCCACCTCACTCTCCGGTGGTTCACCCATGTGTTCAAAATCCTCAAACCGATTGCTATCTAAAATGCTACCACGCCGCATAGATGCCGTCATACCGTTGTGACGATCGGTTAAAGTACTGCCACCATCTGAATTATCTTCAATTGTATCAATGCGTATAATGCGATCACGACCGGACATCTTTTTGAAGTTGTAACGATCGTAAAAGCTACGCTTGTGAACTTCACCCGAATCGGCGCTCATGTAACCGCTGTCCATTTCTTGTAGACGAGGTCCAAATCGCTGTTCATAATAATTATGCGAGGCAGGTGCTGAGTAACTACTTTTTGGGGAAGATACTCGTGGATGTTCGTCAATAAGCGAGGAGATGCCTTCGTCACGGTCAAGCACATCCAGAAAACCGAGCGGCTTCTTATCGTAAGGAGGCGCTGGACTATGTGTTGGACTAAATTTAGAAGCAGCCATGCTTACGAACTTTTTCCATGCATTCTTGAGATCCTTAGCTTTTTTTGCGCGATCTTTGAGGCCCATTGCTATTTGCATTCCATGTGTCAACTGCACAGGCTCGATTTCACAATGATATACTGTTTGTATGGTGCTTATTGGTGGTTGTGCAGATGGTGGTGGCGTTGAGTTGGCATTATTATTATTTGAAGCTGTGCTTCGTTGTGGATACGCTATGCCGACTGGTACTCCAGCATTTCTATATAGTTCCTTTGTGCGATCGGACAGTCGACTGCTGCTACGATTCGAACGTGAACCGATCGAGAGTAGGTCTAATTTGCTGTTATCTAGCTCGCAAATTTTCACATTGTTAATATTATTGTTGGTTTCGAGCTGCGTATCGATATCCTTACAGCAAAGCGGATCTTCTTGAGCGGTATCTACAGTCTTTCGACGATTCATGTACTTCGTAAGGCTATAGTCACCCCGCAAACCGTTGATTTCCGTATTGAACATAGTTCCATAGTCACTTTCAATGTGTTTAGATTTTGTTTTTGTCGGTGGTGAGTCTAAATGTTTGTCATTGTGGAACTGTTGGCAGCTTTTATTTGTATTCGTATTACTGTTATTAACGCTACTGCGACGACAGCTCAAATATTCTTGGGAATCAGTTGGCCCCAGTTTATCTGTTTGCTCATCATGTGCAACACTGGACAGTGTGTTGTTGCATGAACCATCAAATTCTGAGTTGGGTAGGTTATCGGATACACCGGTGATCTCGGTGGATTCGCTATGATTGCTTGTTGTCTCCTCTTCAGTGGTTGTTGTTGTAGCATTTGTACTGGTGGTGGAATGATGAACAAAGTGTTGGCGGTTGTGGTTCTGGTAATGATGGTCGTAGTGTGAGTGCCGGGTAGAGCCGTGACTCCGCTGACTTGTCAACGTGGTGGATGCGGTACTGGGTGGAGGTGGTGGAGGCAAGGGTGGCGGTGAACGACTGATGCGTTTCTTTTGTCCCAGGAATGAAGATGACGCTTTGCTGGTAGTTGTGCTGTTCAGGGTACTGCTGGGAGTAGGTGAGGGCGTTTGGCTTGCGGTAGGCATTGGTGTAAGCGCTGCTTTTACGTTTTTTGATAGCTCGTAGAAACTCTTTGACGATGCAGAAAAGTTCTTAAGAGGTGGGGGCGGCGTAGTCGTTGGAGAATGTACCTGAGGGCTGATTACTGCAGCTTCTGCAACGCGTCGAAGTTTCGGTGTACTAATTTTAATGGTCGTTTTGTTAGATGCTGCATTTGAAATCTCTATGTTTGTGGCTGGCGGTGGTGATACAGGTGATTCAACGATTTGTTGACGCCGCTTTTGTTTAGCCTCGAGCGTAAGTAATCGTCCTTGCTCATTACTTAAATCTAGCTCTTGTGCGCTAGCATATTGACCTCCACACTTACAGCTTGTTTGACTATTTTGTCGTACCAATGGCGATTGATAAATCTCTCGTAAGCTATTGATGTTGGGCCTTTGTTCATCATTCAGCTCGTTGACTATTTCTCTTGTACGTGGCGATACGTGGCTTTCGTAAGCCGGAAAAGCCCCGCTGCCATGGCTGCTATGACTACGAAATGAACTACTTGAATGCAAGATTAATGGTGATTGATGTCCATGCATGTCGTTATGCGTTTCATGCAAGCCCATCACTGGCAGCGAGGTGTAGTTATTTAGCTGATCTCCATTTTGAATCTTTTTCAAGGCCTGTAATGGCCAGGCGTTCACATCACAGAAGCTTTGCTTCTTCGGCTTGCGATCTAATGTGTCAGGCTCAAATTGATCGCTATCTGTAGAGCGTTCGATATCTGATTGGGGTTCATGTTCTACTTCAATGGTCATACTACCCCGAAATGGTGTATCATATTTAATACGTGCTGCTATTTCTTTCTGTTTACTGCTATCGCTGTCCGACTTGTTTAAAGTTTTTTTCTTCAGCCCAGGCTCTGGGCGAAACCCCTTTGATTTGTCGTAGACTGTGTGACTAATCTCTAATTCTTCCTCAAGCGGTAATGCTGTGCTTAGACTAGGGCTGAGCTGAGAGCTCACATCGGATGAAGGAGACGAAGACGACTGAGAGCTTTTACGCTTAGTGGCCTCCAGTCGCTCTAGACTATCGGTCTCGTAATCCACAATTAGATATTGTGGTGATTTCCGTCTATAAATCGGCGAATCGGGTTGAAATTGTTTGAGCGATTTGCTACTCAGGGTGCTGTAGTCAGGTGTTGGTACCGATGGTACACTGCTCTGTGTATTGTTATAAATGTCTTTAATTTTCTTTTCAATTGTACTATCATAGTCCGGTGTTGGTATATCCAAATGGAAACCGGTACTGGCATTAAATGCAGCAATATACTCACGATTGAGCGAATTGCGCAAAATATCATATTGCTGACGCCCGGAGGAACAATGTGAATTGCTGGCGGAAGATGGCTCATAGATGTCAAGAATATCGCTCTTTTTGCCTACTACATTGGACTTTGTTCGATGAGAAGCGAAATTTAGTCCACGTTGTGATGAACATGGAGAGTCATGAAGTGAAAATTTGGGATTATTGTAAATCTCGCTGCCAGTTTCTGCGAAACCATATATATTGGCTGCAGCAGAGATCGCAGAGAATGCCTTACTGTAATTACTATTAATGGATGTATTGGTAGAGTTGTCTGTAGAAACACTGGTGCAATAAAGCTGGTAGGAAAGCGACGACGTACTTTTAATATTATCTATGTCACTTACAGGTGACTCGTATGCAGTCGGTCTTGTGTTGACTGTATGGCGTTTAATATTGTCAATTCTATCTGCGCCACCAGTGGGTGCCGGAGGTGGTGGTGGGCGTTGCTTGGGTGACGTAGCCTCCTTACTTAAAGGACTACGTTGAGGGCCGCAACTATGTGGGAGACTTGCGAGCGATGGCGAAGAACTGCTTAGCGACTGGCGCCTGATGTTTTCGTTTAGTAGCTGTTGGTGCTGTTCTAATGATTGTACCTTAATTGTCTGTGGCTGTTCATTGGTACTGCTGGAGGGTTGCGTCCCAGTGTTCTCACTGTTACCGGCACCCTCATTGCTAGTCACCGTTTGCAACCACTTTTCGATGCTATTTCGCTTGTCGCCGCAATTTTTCACGTGACCGCTGCAACGATTATTCGCACAGCCTTGGCACTCGGATGGCGACTGTTGGCGGTGTGAACTATACAGAGAGGCTGTGTCAGAGCGTTGTGTCCCCTCTTCAGGTATCATAATAAGCGACGGTTGGTATCTTTTCGTAGCCATTTTATATTTCGCTATTGCAATTACCTCACGTATTTTGTGTAAAAATTCTATGGCAGCGGGTGGAGGTTGCTGAAGATGCATAATTAATCAATTAAGAATGAAATATGTGCATTAGTTATTGGACAATCTTTAACTTTCTGTTCACACTTACCGCCAGTAAATGTGGTTCAAAGTAGGCGGGGTTAAAGTAAAGCTTCTTACGCACACTACCGTTCATCATTTGCCTCAAGTGTTCCAATTTCTCCTCGGTCATCATATCCTCAACAATCGAAACATTCTCTACCGGCAAGCATTCCGTCTCTTGTGTGGGCGACGATGATAATGGCGGCTCGTTCGTGTTCTCAACAATCGACTGATCTTTCGCGTTCTTCGGCGAACCGTTCGGTGAGCTGTTGTGCAACTTTCCCATACCTCCCAATTGTGGATGCACCAGCGCCGAAGTCTGCATCTGTCAAGTCACGCAAACGCTTCAATATCCTCAAGCATACATAATAAGGTAGGAAAATGCGTAAAGCATGCAAAATACCTGTTTGAGTTTTTCTTGCAAGGTACCATCCATTTCGCACTCGGAATTCGAATTCGATATGTCGCTAGCAAAGCCCGAATTATGTTCGTTCAATTGAGGAAAGTGTTGTAACAAGGGGTTACTCTTGATGATGCCCATCTCCTCTTTCAAACTTCCAATGCTGGTGCGTGAACGTGGCTCATTTGATGTGCCCATGCTAGTGGCTGAGTAAATGCTTCCACTGCGATTGAAAGGTGCGCCGAATGTCACTTGATCATTTTTAGGATAGTTTATTTCATTGGCCATGTCGTCAAGAGAGTTGCGTGTGTGCGACGATTGATGACGACCTTTTCGCTTTTTCATGTGCAGGTATAGAAATACGGAAGCTACATAAATAAGGCCTAGTAACAGACTGCAAACGGCGATTACCACATACTCTTTGGTGGACATGCCGTCCGAAGTGGAGGCCAGTGTTGAAGTAGCTTCCGATTGAAAGAGGACCTCCGAGACATCTGTGAATCGGCGGTCAAAATTTAAAAATATTGTGATGAATTTAATTAAGACCAAAAGTGAAATATATTTATTATTCTAGCGCTGAATATACTTACTGTGAGTGTATTTAACTGGTGTGCCATTGACGCGAAAGGCGACACAAGGTGAGTAGACATTCTTTGGTAGCAACATGTGTTCTAAGAAATTATTTCAAATTCTATTAGATTATATTTTCTGTGATTTTTGTTATTATATGTATGTATATGTGTGTGTACCTTTGCTAGTGGAATTCAAAGAAATTGTCATATCGCGGCAGACTAAATGCACAACAATGAGTCGACCTTGCATTTTGTGGCGCAAATCCGGCTCACCCAACCACTGAAAAAGTTAAGTAAATTTAATTAATTAATAGTGAAGTGTAAATACCAATATTTTGAACTTAGGTAACAACGACAATTCAATTAATTTCATGTTTAAATCTTTAGAGATAAACGTCCTTAATCGTTCGATTAGCGTCATTCTTTCGACGATCACTTTTTTACGTCAATATGTATGCAAAATAAATTACTTTTTAATAACTGCTGATAAATTCGCATTACTCACTTCTAAAAGAAAAAGTTCAATTCGACGATTTCAGGAAACGCCTTACCGAAATTTCACATATTAAATCAGTACAGTCGTTCTCAAACTTTGCAAATAGAAAAAGTAACGACTTTTAATATATACTTGTATATTAGTATATACATACATACATACATAGGTTATTTTACAATATAAGTCCTCTAGTAATATTAAACTAGTACTTCTGACGTTCAGGAATGATGATTATAAACTAACTGCCATATTTTGAAAAACAAAATGTATCTGATGTTTCTTTAATACTTGTATTTAAAGCTCAATGAATATACATACATATAACTCAATAACAATTTGTTTTAATTTGAATAATTTTATGACTTTTGGTTGGGTCTAATTGGCATATTGACAAAATGTAGGAATGTGTAGTACTCATTATTTTAATTTTTTTTTAATTATTCAACTAAACAGTAGTATTTTTTTAAATAGTTTATTGAGAAAAACTTTTCCGATCTATAATATTATTCTTTTCTGCACTCTTAGCTTTCTAATTTAAGTTTACTTTTTACTATCGCATGCTTTAGCTAATTCGTTGTTAAGTGAAGTTATTTCCAGTTAAGGTTTTCAAAGTTAACGAATGTTCATTTACTTTATTTTAACAAAGTTTCATTTTCTTTACCAAACATGGTGTCTGAGCATGTGTGCTGCAGGTGCAACAACGCCGTTTCACGCGCTACTTAATTAACACTTAATGGCTCTCTTGTTTTGTGTGCCATCTCTTATGTAGGTATAACCACGCACGATTTAATTGTCACATAATCTTTTGCGTTTTCCTGCAACATTGCTTCCTTGATACATTTTTGCTGAAGACCATTCGTTCATGCAGCTCATCCGCAGAATTATTAAATTGTAAAATTGGGACTCACCTGCAAGAAAGTACGCCCTTCGTCGCGAAACATGCGGAATGGATAGTCCGTATCGATGGGGTTCCGCAGATCGGACCAGCCGTTTTTGGTGAGATATTGGGCACCAGTGACTGCGCACACGGGTGTCCGAATATCTGCAATTTTTTTAAATGTTTTCATAAATATGTAAATCAGTAAACCCGAAGCTGTAGATTTTTTATCGCATAACATTTGTTTTGCTTTAAGTTTTAAACAAGTAATAATGACAAATATCCTCGTAAATGCTGTTCTTATACATACATATAAATATTATATACTATTAACAAAAATAGGTGTAAGTAAAAAAAAAAACACACACGAATACTATAATGCATAAACATCCACAAGTCGCTTCGGGTAGGAACTTGTATGCGCGTATGCACGTACTTATGTGACACACCGTAAACTTACTTGGAAAACTGATTTCTCTACTGGGGTAAATGATTTGGCCGCGCAATGGCAGAAATACAAACGGGATTTTCTCGGACGCCGAACCGCTTACAAACGGCGAAAGAGTGCATTCTGCAAATGGTAAAAAAGAAACGAACGAATGGTTACTTACATACATATAAATAAAAAATATTTTATTTGTCATTTCAACTATTTACTTAATCGATTTGTTGTATTTTATTCAGGCTTATAAATTTCGGCATACATACATTCATATGCGTATGTCTATTTACTTAAATTAATTAATCCAAGGGGTAATGCATTAAGATATTGTTGTTGCTCTTGCCTCAGTGCATTTAGCACTTGCAAATATGATTAATTTCTTTTTCATTTGATGATCTGTGGTGTTAATTCTTTGTTTTTGTTTCTCTCAGCTTTGTTTATTTGGTTTTCAAGCATGACAAACAACAGTGAAAGCTACTTCGTATGCCACATTTAGTTTGGGCCCCTTGTAGGAAAACTAAAAGCAAAGCGGCTTATTTGTGAACATACTGGTTGTGGACACAATTATACGTAAGTATACGTACATATATAACGGTACAGAGCGAAAGAGCAGTTTGACTAATATCCAATATAAAAATGCATACCCTCGTATTCACATCTTCTTTGTTTTTGTTCTATTTGTGCATGCAATAAGTGAAACAGCAGCAGACAGGGTGAACAAAACGTTGAAATCGAAAGTCAAGATATGTAAGTATGTAGGTACAAACATTTATAATACCTACATACTTATGTTAATATGTACTAACTTATTTACATACTGTACATAAATGTATGTACATATACATATGTATGTATGTATGTATGTCATTTAGATTTACCTCAGATGGAACCACGTTCTACTAAATTATTCAACATTTTATTTACCTCTTTCTGGAAATGATTTTAAACATTATCAAAAGTAAAGGAAATTGGTTTCAGTTTTAAAAACATTTGTATTGTTCGCATTTCTAATTTTTATAAAGCAGTGCTCCCAACTTTTTCCGTCATATTTGATCTACAGTTTCGCCTATGTTCCTTTGTTGTGTTGTAAGTAAAGGGAAATACTGAGATTCCTATGAATTGTACCTATGTATGTATGTTGATGGATATATATGTACATATGTACAAACGCATACATATATGGTGTACATATGTACATACATATATTGAATCAAAGTTTTTATGAGCTCATTACAAATATCATTGTCTGCTTGTCGTGGCTTTTACATTGAAATCATTATGTTGCTGTTGTTTTTGTAGTTACCGCATATTTTTCAAAAAGCAAGAAACTCACTTTTATTTATCAAATGCTTTCAGTCTTTTTTTCAATTATGAAAAGCACGTGAATCGGCGCTAACTGTGAAACTGATGGTATTGTTGTGGCGAATTATGCCAACAACATGCAGCGTCTTCTTAAGGTTTTTGTTGCTACACTATTTCTATAGTAATTAGGTGAGAAAAATAAATGTGCAGGTAAAGGTAAAAAGTAGCATGAAAAAGCTGTGGAAGATGACGCCAATAAAAGTCAGCAAAAACTACCATTACAGCAAAAACAATGTGAAGAAATAAAAAGTAGCAATATTCACTTGCTGATTTGAAATGGCAACAACAAGCAACAATGGCAAATTACGTTTTACAACCACAAGTTGAAAATGCATATCAAATGGCGAATACTTGCGTGCCACACGTTGTCATTAAATTGTAATGGTAGTGTTGTTGCCTGTTGAAAATATGAGATAATATAACTGTTGCTTGTGCTGTTGTTGAATATTCCAAGGCTGCAACAGCGTCAAAAGCAGCTGGAAGTGTAACATACCAAACAACAACAACTTGTACAGCTTCCGTATGTGTTCACAGCTATTTTCGCCAACCACCCATTCGCACCATGTGGATGGGGTGGGCCCGTTTCGAAAGTGATCCTAATTGATAGGCAACAAACTCCTTGCGGATTGGTGACATTTTTTATACTCTCGCAACCTGTTGCTACAGAGTATAATAGTTTTGTTCACCTAACGGTTGTTTGTATCACCTAAAACTAATCGAGTTAGATATAGGGTTATATATATATAAATGATCAGGATGAAGAGACGATTTGAAATCCGGGTGACTGTCTGTCCGTACGTCCGTCCGTCCGTCTGTCCGTCCGTGCAAGCTCTAACTTGAGTAAAAATTGAGATATCTTTATGAAACTTGGTAGACATGTTTCTTGGTACCGTGAGACGGTTGGTATTGCAGATGGGCGTAATCGGACCACTGCCACGCCCACAAAACGCCATTAATCAAAAACAAATAACTTGCCATAACTAAGCTCCGCAATAAGATACAAGACTGTTACTTGGTACACAGGATCACATTAGGGAGGGGCATCTGCAGTTAAAACTTTTTTTAAAAAGTGGGCGTGGTCCCGCCTCTGATAGGTTTAGTGTGCATATCTCCTAAATCGCTAATGCTATAATAACAAAATTCACTAAAAGCAAATGTTTTTAGCACTTCTATTGACGGTGTGAAAATAGTTGAAATCAGGTGGCAACTCCGCCCACTCCCCATATAACGGTACTGTTAAAAACTACTAAAAGCGCGATAAATCAAGCACTAAATACGCTAGAGACATTAAATTTTATCTCTGAGATGGTATAAGATGACTTTATAGGAACCGCGTTCAAAATTAGACAGTGGGCGTGGCACAGCCCACTTTTAGGTGAAAACCCATATCTTGAGATCTGCTTAACCGATTTCAACCAAATTTGGTGCATAACGTTCTTTTCATGTTTCTATGTCATAGTGCGAAAATGGGCGAAATCGGACTACAACCACACTTACTTCCCATGTAACACCATTTTCAATTCCATCTGATTCTTTCACTTTCCACTATGCAAATCAGGTAACAATGATTATATCGGGGTAAAACTTTGCGTGAATAATGCAATTAAAGTATGCCACCTTGCGGCCAAAATTTGTCTAAATCGAACCAAAACTGTTCAAACCCCTAAGTACTAAATATGTGGACCCCAGTGCCTATAGTTGACCTTCTACCGAAAATATCAGTCAATCCACAAAGAAATCTCAAACGAGTATACCATTTGACTTTGCGAGAGTATAAAATGTTCGGTTACATCCGAACTTAGCCCTTCCTTACTTGTTTTAAATTTGCATGAATATGACAAATTTGAAAAGTGCCAAATTAGTGGAAAGAAATGTAACTGTTATGTAAAATTACGGCAAAAAAATGTAGTAAAGTTTTGAATGTTTATGAAATAATGCCAAGAGAGATGCTATAAACTTTGCAAGAAACTGACATTAGTATACAAAACTTTCCAAGTTAATGAAGAAAAGTGTTTTACTCAAATTGCTTCGTCCCTTATTATTACAGTTTCAAATTCAGATTTTTAGCAATCTTTAATTACCTGTTGAGATGCCCCTTTATGAAACTCATGAGTTTGATATACCCTCGTACTAATGTATCCTCTTTCTGTAGACATATGTATGTATGTACATACTTATGCATATGATTTGCATACATTTATATGCAGTTGAGGTAACATGAATTAATGTTTGCTTCAAAGTATTTCTCATTGGATAAAAATACTTGAAAAATCAGATGCGAAAGTTTTGATAACAATTGAACTAAAGCGTAATTCTCAATGATAGTTCATATTCTCATAGTATGAAAGCAATCTCCATAAGTTTGTAGGCTGATACCGGGAATCTGACTATCATTTCCTCATAGAACCTTGCATTTTTATGTTTATTATGCTTATTGTTGCATTTAGTAATGACAATTTTGTCAACGTTACAGTTATTGTGAAACAATTGCACTTGTGTCCGTTAACAAGTCTCACAAGCCTTTTGCATTGACTTCAATTCAGCGAAAATGATAATCGCAAATTGGCATTTTAAAACCGTAAATGTAATATTTATTTAGTCAAACTGTTTTACTTCGAATTACATATATATATGTATGCGCATGCACTGTATTGCAACCGAGGCACAATGAGAAAATTACCATCTACAATGTTGATCATATACTGAAATGCAAACATAGCTGCAAAAAATATATCCACTGCTTTCATTTATACGAGCACATGCTTGTTTATAAGTTTGTGCAAATGTGTGGCCGGACTGTTAGCTTTGTTTTGTTGACCAACGGTAGCATCGACTAACATTTTATTAATTAAAAATCGCCCAAAAGTCGTAAGGCAACATAGAATTATGGCGATTACAAGATATTATTAAAAAACTGCTGGCAAGGAAAAAACAAGTTGGCAATTGAATTGTGTGCGGTACAAACGTGTAGAATAATTTATCTACTTACATGCATACATATATGTGAGCATAATCAAACCAATTCGATCCAAAATATTTCTAAATTGAAATAAGATTGCGTTTAGGATCAAGATATTATCCGTGATATTTATACATTTGGTTCGATGAATCGCTTATAAAAAGAAAGCGATGCAGCTCAGATAGCACTGGCACCAACAATAATGCCATGTAATTGCAATATATAACACATTAGCTATTGAGTTTGTTTGCGCTCAACTTGGAGGTGTTTAAGTTTCTATTTGGCTTCAGCTGACTTACAGGCTAGGTATGAACATTAGCAAATTATATGGCAACAAATTAGGCAAGCAATGCGCTGTTGCAACTTTAAGTAGTCACAACCGCTCACAAAAATTCTCAATAACAGTGATTAAAAAGCCAGCAACAGCACGTGCAAGATTTTCTGCAGACATTTGCTGACATTCTTTCTTTATTCCCCCAATTCCCCTATCTGAATGGATTTATTAACGTTGATTGTCGTTCCTGCATAGGCTTTCTGCACATACTTACTTATTGTTTCGTCTTCATCTTCTGACATCGATGTGTCGGTTAGTATTCGGTGACACGACGCTACGAGGCGCATCAAAGGGAAAATTGAAGGTGTACACCGCTGGGGCTCATTCCATTCAAATAACGGTCTATGCGTGGCGGTCCTCAGTGCATGCTCCACTGGACATTGGCCCTATTCAGTTGTTATTGTCTGTGGAAAATGTATGTACACCTTGGTTTCTCTCCTGCTGCTTTTGTGTCGCACAATTCTGTTGTGCTTCACCTTATTGGGATACTTTTAATAGCATTAAGATAAATGTTCGGCATCACCGATACTGCTTATCAACATTCGATGCATGAGTTTGGTGAGCGTGTGTGGTTTTGATATTTGTTGAAATATAATATTATATTTGAAAGACCCGTGTTTTTGGAAAATTGCGTTATGCTTGCTCTCTTGCATGGATTGTGATTGGTTGTTTATTAAAGTTGGTCAGAAGAAGTGCGTAGTTTAAATGGCGCAATGCCTTAACAATAACTGGTAAAATCTCTCAGTTCTAGAAGTAAACAAAAGCGCAAGTGCAATACAGTTCAATTCGCTGTTCAAAGTAAGGGTTGAATCTCTTATTTTTACGACTGTGCGTTACTGAGTAATATGGCTTTTTAGCTGTTAGTGGCTGATATCTCGTGTTTCGTAATAAACAGACGCGATGGTGCTTAAGTATTATTGAACTCTATGTTTTCCACTTCAAATTCTACTGTTACCTCAAACTTAAAAGAAAAAAAAACGAACAAAAAACTTTGCTGCGACTGCACCGACGCTACGGTATAAAAATATTATACCTTTATCTTGATTGCGGTCGGTCAGTTTGTATGACAGCGAATAGCATAGATGAATAGCTTCTTTCTCACCAAGGATGACGTTTCAGATCGATATCTTACAAACTGAGCAACTAGTTCGTGGACAGAACGACAGAAAGACAGACAGACATAGCATGTACATATACTTAAAGGTTCTCCGACGTTTCCCTCTGGGTGTTACAAACTTTGTGGAAAATTTATATACCCTGTTCAGGGTATAATGAGGAAAAAATAGGTTTTACAGTTTGGTATTTGTTGCTCGTATTTAGTTAAAAAATAGAAAAGCTAAAAAAACAGTCACCTCTTCCTTTACATATACATATGTATGTACTTACTTCCAGAGATTTATAATTTGCTTGTTTTTTAACCTGTTTGCATATCTAAATAATACTGCACAGTTACGTAAGCGTTTTGGTGGTAGTAATGACAGCGGTATTGGCAATTTCATCGCACTGCATGTCCGGTAACACTTGTCTGCATAAACGCTGCCGTTTACGGTGTTCTGGCGTCCCTGCATGCGAGAACTACGCATCGAAAGGCAACCAAAACAGCCGTTAACAACTAACAGCTGCCACAGTAGCAACAACCAACTCTACAATAAACACAACAGTAACAACAGTAGAAAATGTACACTTTGCGCAACAACAAAATGATACAATTTTCACTGGATCTAGCAACCGCCCATGTCTAGTATGTTTGTTAAGAGCGCCCAGGTCAATCACATGCTGCTCCGTTTTGTCTGCTTGCAACCTTCGTGATTGATAGCCCAATTTAACTAAAATTTTCAATTGCCTAGCGCCCGTTTATTTTACTACAATTACTGTCTAAGCTGATATGCATTTAGGTAGTCAAAGTGCTTGATGAGTTACGTTGCGTGTTCAATTCTACGCCATAACAAGAGGTTTCGTGCAGTAAACTGTGTGCTGTGGGTTGTGTAAAACATTTTCTTACTTGGCACCTTTTAATGGCTAGCATGAACTTCAGATCCGTGAACAACTAGATATCTGCAAAAAGTCCACACTTTTTTTGCGCTCAGAAATTACTTGAGTTATGCCAATAAGTTGCCGTGGATAAAAGAAGGGGCAGACGTGACAGTGGTCAGCAGAAATTGAAGGTAACGCAATTACAGTTGACATTCATAGCCAAATACTACTGAGATTGTCTTGCAGAGGTATTAAATCGAGGTCTTCCAAAAAGCTCTTGCGTTATCGTATATTCTAATGACTTTGGGAAATGGCGTTTGCTGGTACAATTAATCGTTGTTGTTTAGCTTTATATTATTAGCTTCGTTGACTCTACTTGAACAATGTTTCATGCCCCAGTTTTTCGCCAAGGTGACAAATATCCCATGTATCGATGGTTCCTTTGCCTATGGCCGAATATTGATGTGCGCATGGATTACGTGCTAGCTGTAGTATTCAAAAACTTAAGAAAAGTAAAACTTCTTTTTGACTGAAAGTTTGAAACCAAAAACGTGTGTATAATATTATATTTAAATACTTAATATAAATAAATATTTGGGCATAGGCAAAGGAACCATCGATCACAACACCTACATAAGTATGTACACATATTTGTATGTTTTGAGTTCTTTGCAATATCACGAATGTACCTAGATGCATGTTCCCGGAATTATTATATTCAAAATAATGTTTTTTTGCTTGATAGTCAATAACTTACATTCGAGGAAATGTTGAAAATTTTGTAAACTTACCGTGAATATCATCGACGCAAATGCCTAAATCCTCGCGATATGTGCTTAAATAAGGTAAGCAACGACACTGGCAACCCTCAGAAGGCACGTTTGCAACGGTACGCTCATTAGATTTTAGAAATTTGGGTCGTCTAACTAAGTGATCGACATCTGTCAGCGTAGAATGAATGGTAGCGACACTATTGCCTATATGGAGAAAGCATCGAGAGTAAATAAATTTTGTTAATAAAACAAGGGAAATTATTAATATATATGTATATTCAAGAGTCAAGGCTCAAAGCTCAAAAGCTAACACCGCTATAAATATATATTTATATATTGCATTACACTGGTAAGCAAAATAAAATTTTTTTTTGTTTCATGAAGTTACTGTTTCTTACTAATTTGAAGTCGCTTATTTCAAATCTACCCTCAGTTTCTTTCTAGTGGCTAGAGTTTTAGTGATACAGGTACTTATTAAAACATCGTTACTCTGCGTTACTTACTAAATTTCGTAAATAAACCGCTATGTCTGCAGTAAGAAGAAATTGTTTAAATGATCCGATTAGTTTTTGTGCTGATTGTGATAACTATATGTTTAGAAAATTCCACTTAAATGCGCCTGATCCTAAAATAAAACTAATTTGACTACTTTGGGAATTTTGGTTATGAAGAAATTAAAATATTGTACATTGAACATAAATGGCTTATATGCGTCGTTCTTAAAATCATACATTTTTTTTTTGGGTCAACAAGAAGGATATACCCCTGTTTCGCGTGCTTATGGGATAGCCGTGCAAAGACAGAACATTGGACTAAAAAAGTTGGTCTTTGCAAGAAAAGCACATAAAAGAAGTTTTTTTTTTTAATGTTAGGTAAGAGTAAAATATTTTTTATGTAATATGTGCATATTTCAAAACTAGAGCTGCTAGAGAAAAACTGATTACAGATGTGAATTCAGCGAAGCAAAATCATAGAAAATCAGATAAGAAACTTTATACTCAGTGTTATGAAGGGCTATCTGTAACTTATTAAAGACAACCGAGGCACAAGTTACTATTTTCGTAAGTAGCTAGTACTACCATCCCTTACTATAGCATACCGCAATGTCAAAATCTTGCAGCTGCTCAAGGCCAGTAGCTTACAGTATTTTGCGAGTTTCAGACATTAAATATATTAAATATCTTAAAAGAAAATATTTTCTATTTATTTATGAACGTTTTCAAATGAATAATTTATTAAGATGCATCTCCAAAAAACATTGTGTTTTAAATACTTTAATAATTTTTATACTCTTGCAACATGATGCTACAATGTATAACAGTTTTGTTCACCTAACGGTTGTTTGTATCACTTAAAACTAATCGAGATAGATATAGAGTTATATACTTGTATATAAATGATCAGGGAGACGAGACGAGTTGAATTACGTCCGTCGTCCGCTTGTGCAAGCTCTGAGTTGAGAAAAATTGAGATATCTTGATGAAACTTGGTAAAATTGTTCAATGGCATCCGAAGAGGGTTGGTATTGTAGATGTGCAGAATTGGACTATTGCCACGCCTACAAAATGCCATTAACCGAAAACATATAAAGTGCAATAACTAAACTACACAATAAGATACAAGGCTGTTATTTAGTAAAAAAAGTAGCATTAGCGAGGGGCATTCATGGTTGAACATTTTTTTAAAAAGTGGGCGCGACCCCGCCCTTCAATATGTTAATGTACATATCTCTCAAACCATTCAAGCTATAGTAACCATATTCGTTCAGGTCAAATATTCTTATGTGAAAGAGGTGAATTCGGATTATAACTATATGACTATCATTATATTAGGTATATGGGGTTAAGAGAAGTATTGATTCAAGAAATTGAAAGAATCAGATGGAATCCAATTTGTGTTATATGGTAAGTGGGCGTAGTCTGATTTCGCCCATTTTAACTGCAACATAAGAATTTCATAGTAATACAACCTACCGAGTTTAATTTATATCGGTCGGGTTGGTCCCGAGATATGGGTTTTCACCTAAATGTGGGTGGTACCACACTCATCGTCAAATATTGATAACGACCGATGGTCTAATTTTGAAAGTGGCTCCTATAAAGCTGTCTTGTTTCATCCTGTGTGTAAAATTTGATGTCTCTGATGCATTTACTTATTGATTTATCGCGCACTTAGTAGTTTTCAACAAAACTGTTTTATGAAGAGAGGGCGGAAATTGGATTATAAGATTTCATCCATTTTCACACTGTCGGTAGGGCCTTGCAAACACTTTTTTCCAAGCGAATTTGGTTATTGTAACTTAAATGGATTAAACAGAAGCAAAAAACAAAAACATAACAATGTATTTATACATATATCGAGCTTAAGTGGTTTTGAAGTTATTTGCCAGATAGAAAGCAAATAACAATGATAGCTTCTTTCAAATCAAAAGAAGTGCTATTTATTATTCGCTACCACAAGATTCTGTTTTGGCACCTTTATACATATATTATCTATCTACCAAAATTATATTTCAAACCATAAGCATGGGTTCTGATTCTTATAAGAATCATTTAAATATTTTATTAAAAACAAGTAAGGAAGTTCTAAGTTCGGGTGTAACCGAACCGAGTACAAAGTTGCAAGGATCAAAGCCGTGAAATTACTTCAGGAATTTTATATTAAAGGCAGCATTGATCCGATTCAACCCATTTTTGACACAAAACATACTATTATGGAGAGTTTCATTTATTTATTTATTATATGAATTTCAATTATATATCTTACACATTGACCGATATTTTCGGTAAAAACACAACTATAGGCACTGTGTGTAGGCACTATAGGCACACAAATATGGCACATATTCAGTACCTAGGGGCTTTAACAGTTTTGGTTCGATTTAGAGAATTTTTGGTCACATGCCATCTTCTGAAACCCCCTTTAAACGCATTATTCACGCAAAGTCTTACCTCGATACAATCATTGTTGCTTGATTTGCATAGTGGAAAGTGAAAGAATCAGATGGGATTTAAAATGATGTTACATGGGAAATAGGCGTGGTTGTAATCCGGATTCGCCCATTTTCGAACTATAACATAGAAATATGAGAGGAATTTGTACCGAATTTGGTTAAAATCGGTTAAGCAGATCCTAAGATATTAGTTTTCACCTAAAAGTGGGCGGTGCCACTGTCTAATTTTGAACGCGGTTCCTATAAAGCCATCTCATACCATCCCACAGATACAATTTAATGTTTCTGGCGTGTTTAGTGCTTGATAGCGCTTTTAGTAGTTTCTAACAGTACCGTTATATTGGGAGTGGGCGGGGTTGTCTCCCGATTTTACTCATTTTCACACTGTCGAATAAGGTGCTAAAAACATTTGTTCTCAGTGAATTTTGTTGTTATAGCTTTAGCGGTTTAGGATATACATATGAACATTAAACCTATTAGGGGGCGGGGCCATGCCCACTTTAAAAAAATTTAAACTGCAGATGTCCCTCCCTAATGTGATCCTGTATACGAAATAGCAATCTTGTATCTTATTGTGGAGCTTAGTTATGGCAATTTATTTATTTTTGAATAATGGCGTTTTGTGGGCGTGGCAGTGGTCCGATTACGCCCATATGCAATACCAACCGTCTTACGGTATCAAGAGACATGTGTACCAAGTTTCATAAAGATATCTAAATTTTTACGCAAGTTACAGCTTGCACAGACGGACGGACGGACAGACGGTCACCCGGATTTTAACTCGTCTCTTCATCCTGATCATTTATATATACCCCAATATCTAACTCGATTAGTTTTAGGTGATACAAAAAAACCGTTAGGTGAACAAAACTATTATACTCTGTAGCAACAGGTCGCGAGAGTATAAAAATATATGTAATAAAAACAACAACACATAGCTATTGCAAGAGTACAGTAATTTTTGTAATTTGTATACATATGTAGATATATGGATTATACTGATTGTTGCTACTGAACATGGCGGGTTTTTTTAGGACGCACCATGTGGAACCGGTAAGATATTTTAAATATCATAACAGAAACTCGCATGGATATTGCATCGCCAAGGCAAAGAGGCTACTTTGCTAGAATATGGGTAAACGACGCACAATGCGAGATTTAAACGGCAACGAACAAGTTGCTGTTTTACCACTGTTTGGGATTCCCATTTGCCATTGCCGGCCATTCTTCACTTATCTTAACGCAATGAGCAGTCAAAGTGTAAAAGTAGATGAAATTAGTTTTCAATTACAACAGTTATTGCCATCCTATCAGATCTACGTATATATTTTAAATCATTCGGTAATTGTCTAGACACATACGAAATGACATCACTTAATCTTCGTATGAAAATTCTTCAACTATTATTCTTCAGAGTAATTTCAATTCACCTCAACTATGCAACGGTATACTTTGGTAATCAAAAAGATTACATTAAATATTATTGTAGCATCAATTTTTACTGGAAAATTTAATGGAGAAATGGTCCTCTTGCCACGCTTTCCAATGATACTGTCACAATATGCGATAGGAATAGAGCTGAATTAAATTGAATTTGAAAATGTTTAAAATTAAAAATTTAATTATATATATATTATTTATACAAATAGGTCAAAATTAAATGAAACAAAAACAAAATACATGATTATTAATCGAAAAAATACAAACGGGTGTGATACTATTGAACTTAAATAAACAATGAATTAATATAACCTATAAAATCTATAAAATATCTCGGAATTGTAATTGATAACAAACTTAAAGTCGATGAACATATAAAGTTTACTGGACAAAAGATAGCAAAAAAATTGGATTTATGAAAAGATCTTGTTAATATGTATTTAGAGGGTTTACGAAAATAGTTTACAAAACACTGATTGAACCGCACTTTATTTATTGTCCATGTGTTCATAGTACCAAACTCAAAAATTGATATACCTACTATAGAAACGCTTTTCAAATTAAACTGTTAGGTATAAAACAAATAATAAGGAACAAACAAATTTATATTACATATGCAGCATTTGCGTTCACATATTTAGAGATCGTTGCTTACATTGTTTAAATGTTAATTTAAAAAGTCTTCAAGTTTTTGTTTGTATATTGTACAATCTAAGTGAAATAACATGATATTCCATATTTTCTAATTTACACTAAAACTTGTTTTCTAAATAAAAATATGTTCGAAGTTAGTTTTCTTGTACGAGTATGTATTTTAAAACTTCGAGAACTGACGGAGGTTTTGGAGGATCATTTTCTTTCTTTTACTCCTCGACATCAGCACCATCCAAAATATGTTTACCATTAAACGGATGTTTTCAATTGATTTACAGAGATGTTAATTGCTGAAAAATATATAACCGGGAGAAATTAAAGATATATGTTTTCCAATGACACACATTTTTAACCAATTAACCGGGTTCCATTAGGCGGAAAAAAGTGTGCACGAATGCCTTATGTCCAAAAATTGTCCAAGTCGGACCAAAACTATTCAATCCCCTAGATACTGAATATGGAGACGCCAATTCCTATTGCGAACTTTTTACCTGAAATATCGGTCAACCTGTCAGATTTATTATTGGAATTCAAAAAGAATTTTCCCCGGCTTTGATCCTTGCAAGTTGCGAGAGTATAAAATGTTTTGTTACACCTGAACTTAGTCCTTCCTTACTTCTTCAAATAATATGTCCTTTCATATTATTTTTGTTGTGAAATATTGTTTAAGAATTTACATACAATTCCTTTTGATGCATTTTTATAATAAAAATAATCTATATATAATTACGCTAACAAAAACCTAACCTTTCCAACCGTTGGAAAGGAGAAGAGCACAACAATACCATTTTTTTCGCATGTACCACAACGAGCACACAGGTAAAAATGCGTTGGGGCATTGATAAACGTACAAATTAATTAAGATGTACTAAACACAATGATTTTAAATTTTATTTGTTATGTTAAATTGTTTTATAATTAATTGTTAACCTTTTCTATATGTTTCATTTTAGGAATTCTTCCACAAATATGAGTTATGCTGTCAAATACTTTAAATAATGCTTTTGAAAACTGTAAACTTGTTGGTTGTTATCTAAGTTTACAAGTTTCAAAATGCTGTAGTCTTAGGCATGTTGGGCTTTAATCTAAGCCAACATTTTCGTTTTCGACTTTAACCAAAATGTTTAGAATAGTTGATAATTTTATGAGAAAAATTTCGTAGACAAAGTATATTGAACTCACCACCTTTTTCACCAGTTACAGATAAGATATCAACGCCTGCCGTACCGCTCGATAAGCCAACGCAAGTGTCCGCATTGCAAGTGTGTACGCCTTTGTTAAAAAATCATGGAAAGAGGAAAATGATAATGGAAACATTCGTTTAGAATAGAAAAAACATAGTACACCGAAGTGTTAAAAATGCCATTTAGTTACAAATAGTGTATATATGTACAAATATATGTGGGGTATATGCCAACTCTCCGAACATACGAGTACGGGCTATAGGCGAGTGGTCCAGCAACAGACAAGCTAATAAACAACTATTCACGAGAACTATCAAGTGGGTGAACAACTCGTAATGTCACGAGGAAAACAAGAAAAACTGCTCAGCAAGGTTTATTATCGCAAAGTAAGTTTTTTTTTAGTTCGGTGTGCCAATTGAAGCGTTGTGGCTGCTGCTGCAGTACCAGCTTTCTTTGTGTGAGTGTAACGGAATTTAAATACATGCATTAGGCGACACACTGGCAAACAGCCATTGAATAACAACAACAAATCATTTATTGCAAATACTTAAAACTTTATTGCATTCGGCGCTTCCTGCGTCGTGCCACGCGCTCTCACGTCCCTCCTAGTATATGCTCGTAGAATATTTTCGTAAGTAATTTTCCGAATTTGCCTTGTGAGGCTCCATTTAAAATATTAATTTGGATTTGGATTTGTTAACAATTTTCATGTAAATATTTACGAGGTTACACCATATACCATATAATTTGGCGAAAGTAAACTTAGTATCAGTGCCCTAAATATAAAGTCAAGTTCCCAAAGCTAACTTTTAGAGTTTCTAATGATGATGTGCTGGAAAGGGTGGTTGGCTAAGTAGATCTATTTAAGATGTAGAGAGAAGAGAAAAGTAGTTGCCTATTTAAGATGGGTATTTATGTACATATATAGCTCTTCCAGTCTTTCTGCTGGAATGATTTCACATATGTAGATAGGAATGTATGTACGTTAGTATGTTCACGTAACAAAGTTACAAGAGAATAAGAGTAATAAACGTATTAATGAAGGAATTGGAGCTAACAGGAGAAAATGAATTCTCACCCATCGTATGAAAGATATCGCCGTTATGTTGCCGTGTCAGATTGATAATATTGGTTGTAAGTTCGAGCAGTAAGTTGGCGCTGCTACTGAAGATTTCGTTGCTTCCGTAGCTTGGGATGTGTGTCAGAGTTGGCGAGTCAGCGGTACCGCCACCCTCATCATTATTGCTTATATCACCGATACGACTGTCAACAATGAGGCCAAACGAACCAACATCAATGTCGCTATCAACAGCCGCAGCCGTGTCCAACGGGACGCGCCCCTCCGAGTTGGCGTTATTGCTACCAGCATTTGCAGCTATCTCACTGGCCATAGCAACTGCTGCACCGGCGGCTGCAGCTAAAGATGTGGCACCCATTATTTCGCCACCATGCGTGGTATCCAGTGCAGCTGAGGCGGCGATCGATTCTAAATCATCGTATGTGCTGACAAGCGCGGAGTGATGGTCTCGTACCCCTATTGTTGTTGCTCTTGCTGCTACCTTTTCTATTATTGATGTGGCATTGTTCTGCCATATGCTCAAGCACAGTAATACCGTAGCTAAATGTTGCACACGCACCATGTTGCCGGCAACATTGCGTCCGTGCGCCTCTAAGAGCGACGTCAGCAATGCGTGTGGCATAAACGTTAGTTGAAATAGGAAATGCGTTTGGTTGTTGTTGAGGTTTTTTCAATCTATGTGTAAATTCTTGTTATTTTGGCAACTTTTTGCCACAGCAAATTAATACCGTAAAAGAAAGTCTGCGTGCGCCTTTGAGAAAATTTCCTAATCCTAGATTTCACGTGGGGTTAAGAAGTGGGTATTTTTATTTCACGGCTCTATTGGCATCTGCTTGTAATAGACGCATTCACCGGTCATAGTTCACTCCGCTACTATGAGTTGATGCTTGACAGATTTGGGGTTATTTTCGTTAGCGATTCTCAGGCAGGGACGGATCGATTGTGATAAGTCTCTTTTTGTAGCAAATGATGTTTAAATATTCTGCTTCTAAGCGTATGTAATCCTTCTTGCATTTCAGCTGATCATCTGCTTACTTGTTTTATTTATTTCTCCATATTCATGACGGGCACCTGAAATGATTGCAAACATATGAAAGGATTACACATTGTATAGATCTTATGTCGAAAAATTAATAGTAAGAAAGACTTTGAAGATAGTGTAATGAAAGGATCGTAAGTTTTACGTTCATAAGCAAAAATTATTTACAATGCGCGCGTGACTGGTTTCAAGACAAGGCTGCAAGGACTAGATATAAATAACTAACAAAAACAAGTAAGGAAGGGCTAAGTTCGGATGTAACCGAACATTTTATACTCTCGCAAAGTCAAATGGTATAATCGTTTTAGATTTCTTTGTGGATCTTGGTGGATCTTGCCGCCTTGTTCTATGTTGACCGATATTTTCGGTAAAAAGTCAGCTAAAGGCAATGGGGTCCACATATTCAGTACCTAGGGTCTTGAACAGTTTTGATTCGATTTAGACAATTTTTGGTCTCAAAGTGGCATACCTTAAACGTATTTATTTGCTTGATTTGCTTACTGGAAAGTGAAAACATCAGATGGAACTTAAAATGCTGTTATATGGGAAATAGGCGTGGTTGTAATTCGATTTCTCCAATTTTCGTACGATAATATAGAAATATGAGAAGAATATTATGTGCCGAATTCGGTTGAAATCGGTTAAGCAGATCCCAAGATATGGGTTTTTACTTAAAAGTGGGCGGTGCCACGCCCACTATCTAATTTTGAACGTGGTTGTATAAAATCAACTTATACCATCCCAGAGATAAATTTTAATGTCTTTGGTTTGTTTAGTGCTTGATTTATCGCCCTTTTATTAGTTTTTAACAGTACCGTTATATGGGGAGTGGGCGGGGTTGTCACTCGACTTCACCCATTTTCACACCGTTGATAGAGATGCTAAAACATTTGTTCTCAGTGAAGTTTGTTATTATAGCTTTACTAGTTTTAAACTATTTGGGGCGCAACCACGCCCACTTTTAAAAAAAAGTTTAACCGCAAATGCTCCTCTTTAATTCGATCCTGAGTCCCAAATACCAGCCTTGTATCTTATTGTGGAGCTTAGTTATGACAATTTATTTGTTTTTTATTAATGGCGTTTTGTGGGCGTGGCAGTGGTCCGATTACGCACATCTGCAATACCAACCGTCTTACGGTATCAAGAGACATGTGTACCAAGTTTCATAAAGATATCTCAATTTTTACTCAAGTTACAGCTTGCACGGACGGACGGACAGACAGTCACCTGGATTTCAACTCGTCTCTTCATCCTGATCATTTATATATACATAACCCTATATCTAACTCGATTAGTTTTAGGTGATACAAACAACCATTAGGTGAACAAAACTATTATACTCTGTAGCAACAGGTTGCGAGAGTATAAATATAGCAGTTTAACTTTTTTTGTTCCGATCATTTTACGCAAACGGATATATGTACATATGTACGTATTCTATTCGTGGTACATAGGCTTTATTATGTCGATGTGTGATTTTCCGCAACTGTTAATAGGATAACTGTAAATATATCGTAATTAATTAGTAACTGTCTCAGTAATTGTATGTGTGATCATTTATACGCAAATAACTTAGATTAATGCAAATGTTCGCACATGCATGGTTAAATTGCCTTCCGGTTTTACCAAGCCCACATTGGTTGTCGATGCTCAGACATTGGCGCATTGCCATTCAACAGACGGCAATGAAAAATGGAATGACACGCTCCATTAGCTACCTGAAGAGTACCAGAGGTTAATGCAGAAAGAAAAATGCTACAACAACGCAGGCAAAAAAAGCTGGTGCAAACTATGTAAGTTGTTGATTTTGCTATGATTTTTCTTATTAAAAAATAAGAGAAAACGTTAACTTTGGTTGCACTGAAGCTATAATACCCTTCACAAATAAATTGTAAGGTAGCTATATGCTATAGTGACTCAACTTGATTTAACTTATTCTGAGATTGCATTATTGCCTTAGATAATAATCCGTGCAAAATTTCGTGAAGATATCTTATAAAAAAAGCTTTCCCTACAAGCACTCGATTCCGATCGTTCAGCTTGTATGGCTATATAGCTATATACTATAGTGTTCGATATCGGCCGTTCCGACAAATGAGCAGCTTCTGGGTTAAAATAGGACAAGTGCAAAATTTCAGATCGATATATCAAAAACTGAGGGACTAGTTCGCACATACCATATATCGACAGAGGGACATGATTAAATCGGATTATACTTTATAGGGTATCTCACATTTCCTCTGTGGTGTTACAAACTGGATCTGGCAAGCTTAATATACCCTGTTCAGGGCATAATAATCAAATGCAAACGGTTTGATGGGATAACAAAAACAAAGACGTCTAGTGCAGCTTGCATCAAACTCCTTGCCCACTTCCAAGTGCAAAATTCCAACAACAACTTAGCTTTTAGTCGAGGTATGAGACTCGCAAGTCCAAAGAATATATGTATTCATATAAATAACTACCTGGTTAACTGTTTATTGGTTAACTGTAAGGGTTTTGCGATATTTCGAAACGACTTTATAGTGTTGTTAACATTTTATAAAAGTTGTTGTTGTTACGCGCTCATATTTTTTAGGTGCCTGATTTCGTAGGGGGTGCTTCCCTTTGAATAATTATTAATACGCTTGACCATACTGTCATACAATTTATCAATAACTATTTTAAAGAATAAACTAGATCGTTGAACATCGTTGCAAAAGGCAAGGCTTTCATTGTCGCCGTCTTACCATAAATTTTATACTTGCCACAATATCTCATTATATTTATTATCGCTTATCCAAACTTGTAGTGGCTTGGTACTCCAGCCTTTATGTATAGGTATGTACGTACATATGTATGTTGGGTTGAGCAGACATGAATACGTAGAACACTTCTCTGAGGCTTTGAAGCTGCAGCCATTGCCGGGCGCCTTCATCTTCGCTGACTCTGAATTACGTCACTTCAGTACAAGTTGCGCAGAAGCGTTGCATGGGCAATGGCATGCGATAGTATGTGCTGGGACTCGTGCACCAAATCCCCTGATAGGCCTGCTACCTATTTTAGTTTTTAATTTGTGAAGTTACTGATTGGATGAAGAATTTCCCGATACTCAACGGGAACAAATGTGTAGGTATGTATGTATGCATTGCATGCATTGCACTAATAAAAAAGCAACAAGGAATGGCAAGCGAAGACATTTACGTAGAGTTTGTTTAATTTGCAACAATTGCAATATACCATTAATGCGACGCTTGGCGTAAGTTGACAGTCGCCAAACGGCACTTTTCATTTAGCGCTCGCAATACAGATGTGCATTGTACCGAACGTGCTGACCAAGCGTTAGCACATGTTGTGGCACCATTGGCACCGTGGGCACCTGTATCTAACCATTTATGTATGGTATTTGTAGTTGTTATTGGAATCTCGCGAGTTGCTCGCATTGCAATTTCAACATTTATGTATGTTGTTGTGAAATAGCTTTTCAATTTATTTGTCTTTAACTGCGGGCAAGTGGCGACACTTAGACGTACATACCTGCAACCGACGCGACAGAACACCTAAATTTAAACATACATACAAGTATGTACATACATACATATGTAAATAAATACATATGAACATACATATTGTATTGTACATGCAATGTAAACTAGGAATGTTTCAGCAGTTGTTGTTCGAGCAGGGATTGTTTTGTTTTTCTTAGCTAATAAAAATGATATCTATAAACGTTAATTATATCTTGTTTCATCCCACTGTCATGTGGTATTGTTATTGGTTTTTGATCGTGCTGTGATCGCCACAATTTACAAGCTATGAGGAAGAAAGGCAACGGTACTACGCAAATCAGTGACTTCAACTATCTTTTTTGTCGTTAAATGCAATCGTTTAGGACAATTTATTTTAAACATATGACATTGAAAACGAAAATTTATTTGATATTCATATCGAAATGCGAATTAATACACTTTTCAAATATTTAAATTCCAATTCGATCGTTATCAGACGAGCAATGAGCTGGTGAAAAGGCATTACTTGGTCAATTATTACATTGCAGAGGTATTTTGTGGGCTATATTAATATTCTATTGTTCGAAAACGGCGGCATAAGTAGAGACCTTTAAATTCTCAAAACTTGCTATTAAGTTTACAACTTACACAAAGGAACGGTTAAATTATTTGAATTTCTCGTTAATGTGTGGAGTTAATACATATTTCACCGAATTGCATGTAAATCAGTATCAATATGCCACAAAAGGCAAACAGTGGATATTATTCTAGCATTCTGCTTTTATATACTTGTAAGTGACCGTTAGATAAAAAATTGTGAAATTTGCGTTTGCATGATAATATTAGTAATTTCGGAAACTGTACGCACGCATATACATATGTATGTATATACATTGGAATGCACACATCTACATAGTACGATTATATATGAAAGCTTACATGTAAATATTATGGATATATGTTTTGGAGGTAGCTGATAGGCAGTAGTGGGCCATGAGGCGGGAGCATGTCGTCTGATCATTCTGCAAATTACCAATTCTTTATGACTAATCTGCGTGCAATCAAAAAAATGCGGTGAAATATGCCAGCAGTCAACCAGTTACTCCGTTACACTACAACATCAACGGCCAGAACATAACCGACCACTTTAGGCAACGATTTCGGAACCTGAGAGGCTACAAACTATATGTACCGTAAATACGCGCTCCATCATCGTAGTTTATTTTTACTAGTAGTTTATTTACCGCAATGGACTCTGGATTAACTTGTTGTGTTATTTTCTTTGTTTTGCAATATCTGCGTAACTGTTACATTGATTTTGCATGCAAAATTTATGAAGAGCTTTTCAACAGCTGCAAACTAGTAGGCCGCAACACACCACAGATGCGAAATTCAAGTTAGATACGGTGCAAATGTGACCGTTGTGCATTCATGAGCACGCATGCAAACAGGTGGAAAAGTTGGTGGTGGACCTAATCCTGTAAGTATCCTGTAGTGAAGCAACTAGTTGCTAACTACTTTCGAACTCTTATGAACCGCGAGCA